CACAGCCCTCAGGGGATATTTCTCACATCATCACCTTGTAAATCTGCTGGGACTCCTGGAGCTAATGGCAGTGGCGGTATGCGGGACCCGTTATGACTATGGACCAAGAAGTTCCACATTCTCAGTTTAGTCCATATTCAACCTCCAGCAATTCATCAAAATTACCTGTTAGTTCTCCGACCAGTTTATGGCTCCAGTAGGCTCCAAGTAAACAGACCTCTGTCTCTGGATACACCCGTCTCTCCAGATTTCACAGTCGTGACTTCAGTTCTCGGAAAGATAAAAGTCACTGATTTTCAGCTTGACTAGCTTTTTTCTTATAAGGATAGGGGTGATGACTTCCAAGCTGTTTGCATGTTGTTGTTGAAACCGGGAGTTCCAACAAGTTTCTGACTGCAAGAGAATTAAAGAGAGATTGAAGAATAGAAGAATATCGAATGACAACAGAATCACAAAAATCCTTTAACTGCTCAGTTTAAACAGTTTAAATGCCGAGGCAGGAAACAATTTCATGATGACTTCAGTGTCAGTAGAATGGCTATCAGAGGTTGTCTGTGTAGCATCATGCAGAAATGCAGAGTATGGACAGGACACCTTCTACAGTGTACTCCAAGCTTTGCTTTAATTTTGAATAGCAATTGTTTGCACTTCTGGCCGGGCGCGGTGGCTCACGCCTGTAATCCTAGCACTTTGGGAGGCTGAGGTGGGTAGATCATGAGGTCAGGAGTTCGAGACCAGTCTGGCCAACATGGTGAAACCCCATCTCTACTAAAAACACACATACACACAAAAATTAGCTGGGCATGGTGGCGGGTGCCTGTAATCCCAGCTACTTGGGAGGCTGAGGCAGAAGAATCGCTTGAACCCAGGAGGCGGAGGTTGCCGTTAGCCGAGATCGCACCATTACACTCCAGTCCGGTAACAGTGCGAGACTCCGTCTCAAAAAAAAAAAAAAAAAGTTGTTTGCACTTCTACACATCTACGTAAATTTGTATGTGTATTATATCAACCAAAGGAATACAATTTGACTTGAGTTTCTGCAAAAAACTTCAATTACCCAGGTCTCATCTAGAAGGGATAAGATAGCTTTATAAGCACAGTTTTTCAAAAGATAAACATTGCACAGGAAAAAAAAAAAAATCTCACTGTGATTATTTGCATCTGGGGTTATACTGTAAAAAGAGACATTTTAGATCTTTTACAGTCTCTAGTAGTGAACAGAAAGACTACATTTTTATTACTGCAGATTTTATCCTGGCACTTGAAAATTCGTTTGCAATTTTAGAACCAGGAAATACTTTTGGTGTGTCCAACTGGCCATTTGAGCTGAAAAGATTGATGATGGTGGTATACAGTGTGGAAGGTCATTATAATTTCGGCTATGGTTGTTTTATTTTTATCTGAATTTCCTTTCATCGGAAAATTTGTTACTTTATCCGTTTCTTTAGCACTATTTGAGGAAATAATGTATCTCTTAGGCTTAGCTGTTAGTATATCCTGGCTTATATCTGATTTTCCAATATGTTCAATACTGAATGAACAATTGTGTACTGTAGAAAGAGCTTCAAAATATCTTTTCTCTAATTTAATAGATACCAAATGTTTTGGAATTTTTTTTTTTTTTTTTTTTTGAGAGAGTCTCGTTCTGTCACCCCGGCTGGAGTGCAGTGGCGCAATCTTGGCTCACTGCAACCTCCGCCTTCCGGGTTCATGCCATTCTCCTGCCTCAGTCTCCCGAGTAGCTGGGACTACAGGCTAATGTTTTGTATTTTTAGTAGAGACGAGGTTTCACCGTGTTAGCCAGGATGGTCTCGATCTCCTGACCTTGTGATCTGCCCACCTCGGCCTCCCAAAGTGCTGGGATTGGTGTGAGCCACCACACCCGGCCTTGACAATTAATCATGAAATTTATACTTGCATTTTGATTCAAATATACATAAATGAAAATAGGCAATAGGGTAGATCTCATATTAAGTATCCTTAACACAAAATATAAAATAAAAAATAAATTATAGTAATCACAATAATTGAAAATACTAAGTTTAATCATCTCACAAGAGTGAAGCATAATTACCAATAAATTGAGGCCGAACTATTGAAAGGTTGGAAACTTACAAACTAACAATAAACTTGAACTTGATATGTGACACCGAAAAGTCAAACTTTATGCATGCCTGCAAGGGAGAACTGTGTTTGCAGGAACAGTATCCCCGAAGAAAGTCAGAACTGATCTTACCCAAAATTTTGAGCAGCTGTGTCTGGGATTGGCGAATTTTCAGAGGCAGGGTTGTTTAGGGATTGTTAGACTTTTAAGTGTGTTAGTGTGGTCACTGGAATTAGATGGTTGTCGACTGGCTAACTTCCAGAAGCACGGTCACTGGAGGGAGGGACTTGCTGACAGATCGTGGTCTAGAAGCAGCACTAAGTGGCATTCAGAGGCTGTCATTAAGTTGATCTCAGAAGCGTGGCTGCTGGCAGTGAAGCCGTCACTGATTTTTCAGACCATGTGCACTGATCCAAAGGTCGAATTATTGGAGATTATTTTACAACTTAGGAATTTGGCCAAAAGAACAATCTTTTCCTTTCTTTAATATGGAAAACAAGTACTTTTATTTTCACTTCCCTCTTTTGTCTTCCCTCAGTCAAACACATAGAAGAGAACATAAGAGATTGTTCATATCTTTGTTTGCGGAGGTATGATTTCCAGCTTGTATTGCCACTTAAGCAATTTAAGAGCCAATTACTGAAGCAGAACTGTAGCTTTAAGTGCTGATTTTTCATTAATGAGGGGAGAAACCCTGAATACATTTAAGGCATCCTAACCAAGTTAATACAGGATTCAGGACAAAATCTTTAAATACAGGGCGTTTGGCAACCCTACCTGAGTCAGGTTTCTTCTCACTCGCCACTCTCACCTACTTGCCTGTGAAAACCGTGCCTTATTTATTCTAATACATAATTATCTGTCTTCTGTTCTTCGTCAGTGCTGTCCCTGTTTGAGTTGGGACCTCATTTACCTACTACTTGAATTTAAACAGCCCAGATTTCCTGGGGGGCATCAGTCATCAGGCGTCAGCTCTCTTCAACCCCATACGCTTATCTTCTATGCAATTTCCCTTGCCTACCGTCTTTGACTCCACCAATTTTACCATAAAATCCAAACTCTTTAGCTTGGCAAATAAGGCCTTTTGTGATTTGGCTTCTGCCGTCTACTCAAGCTTTAACATTTGTCATTTTCTTGCTCGCTAGTTCTAAATTACGTTTCCCAAATGTGCCCTATTACCCACCTGTGCTTTGGCGCATGCAGTTTCCTCTTAATCGGAATGCGTCTCTCTCCCTCGGAGTTCCTATTGTTCTCCCCAAATAGAGCTCAGGCATCATTGGCCCTGGAAAGCTTTGATGTCTCCAGGCTCTCTTGATGAGTCTCTTTCTTCATCCTGTGCAAATCTTTACAATATTCTCATAGTGGAACATATTGTCGTAACTTATTTGTCTATTGAAACAACAAAAACTGCAACATAATCTGCTTGCTCATTTGCTAGTTCAATTCCATCCCCTTCCCCTCAATTCATGGCTTCTTGAAGAAAAGCCTGTGTCTGTCTTAAAACTTGTACAGTTTTAAGACTTGTATACTTGTAAACATATATAGTGCCTGCTCCAAAGTTAAAAAATATTTATCGTTATGAGAAAAACTGGGGACTGTAATGTCCCCCCTCAAACTGGGAAGGAGCTGAGACCAAAGAATGACTCAGACAAGTCCAGCTTGATGAGCAGATTTTATGATGATTTCCATACAGGGCACTCCGGGATGGCAGCAGGACCGCTCTGGAGATCTGTACCACCTCGCACCTCTAAGCTGCTTTTAAGCCAGTTTTCTGGCTCTTTGCCTCACGTGTGTGATTGGACCGTTTGCTTAGTGTGTTCCCACTCTGGGATGTTTGGGTTCACACGGACACTTGCTCCTTGGTTGGGCACCATGGCCTTTCCCAGCCTTCAGGGCTCAAGCAGTGGATATAAACCCTTAGGTAACCTGGTAGGGGATCTGTCACACCACACTGAGTTTATGAAACAATTCACATGTCTTGTTTGGGCTGCTGTAACAAAATACCTCACATACTAGGTAACTAATAAAACATTTCGCACAGTTCTGGAGGCTGGGAAATCCATTTAAGGTGCTAGCACGTTTGGTGTCTGGTTATGGCCATCTTGATTCAAAGAAGGTATCTTATCACTGGGCCGTCACATGGCTGAAGGGCAGAACAAGCTCCCTTGGGGCTCTCTGATAAGGGCATTGAGGGCTCTGCCCTTATGACCTAATCACCTCTCCATACATCCCACTTCATAATACCATCACCTTGGAGGTTAGCATGGGCATATGGATTTGGGGGGAAGACATAAACATTCAGACCATAGCAATGTCCTTTTCAAGAGTTTGCCACAGGTGTTAGATTTGTGAAAGTTCTTCTGATGTGTTCATTATACATTTAAAAAATACATATTTAGGGCAGCCGGGCATGGTGGCTTACGCCTGTAATTCCAGCACTTTGGGAGGCTGAGGTGGGCTGATCAACCGAGGTCAGGTGTTTGAGATCAGCCTAGCCAACATGGAGAAACCCCATCTCTACTAAAAATACAAAATTAGCTGGGCGTGGTGGCAGGTGCCTGTAATCCCAGCTACTCACGAGGTTGAGGCAGGAGAATCACTTGATTCTCGCTCCTGGGAGGTGGAGGTTGTGATGAGCTGAGATCGCACCACTGCACTCCAGCCTGGGCGACAGAGTGAGACTCTGTCTCAAAAAAAACAAAAAACAAAAACAAAAAACAAAAACATATTTAGTAGCTTTAAACCTGAAATAATTTGCCTGTTTTTCTATCTAATACAGTTTATGGCAAATAACTGGTACACCTTCCTAATAAATGACTTCAGAGAAATAAAAACCAAAACAAAGTTAAGACACAGTTGAGTAGAAAATTCCCAACTACTAGAATAAAAGACCAGATTTTTCTTTTTCTTTTTTAATGAAATCCATGCACAAGTTTGACATGAGGGTAGGAAAAGGACGAACCCCAGAGACTGAGAGGTAGTTCATAATTCATTTTTCTTTTATTTTGGTCCTTTTCTCTAAAAAGGTACAATTTGATCAATTCATTTGTATGCTATTAAAATGCTATAAAAATATTACCAGTTTGGTGGTCTTCTAATGAGAAATCTAAAGCACGCCTCCCCACCCACTCGGCTCTGTTTCTGATGATCACGTGACATCTAGCATGTATGTCTGTAGGAAAAGGGAAAAAGCAAACCCATTTCACAAATGGCTGAAGTCAGCGTCTCCAGTGGTAAATTCTTCATCTCAGGTTATTTTTTTAAGTGTCTGACAAGCACAAACACTTTCCTCATATCTATTATATAGTTGAGGTTTATCCATGGAATTAAATACCTAATGAGGGCTAAATTATCATAGTTTCACATCCATTACATTTATTACATCTCTCTCAAGGATGCATTCTTTGATGAGCTTTGGTTTAAGGCTTTCACACACACACAAATCTACTTTCTAGGAGTCCTCTTCAATGTGAATTTTATAATGATTCGTGAGGGATGACCTATGGTTGAAAAGTTTCCCACATGTATTACATTCATAGGGTTTCTCTCCAGTATGAATTCTCTGATGTGCAATACGTGATGAGCTTTGTCTAAAAGTTTTTCCACATGTATTACATTTAAAAGGTTTTTCTCCTGTATGAATCCTTCGATGTTGAATAAGAGCTGAACTTTGGCCAAAAGATATCCCACATTCCTCACATCGATATGGTTTCTCTCCAGTATGAATTCTCTGGTGATTACTAAGCGATGAGTTACACCTGAAAGTTTTCCCACACTCATTACATTTATAGGGTCTTTCTCCAGTATGCATTCTCTGATGTTGAATGAGAGCTGAACTCTGTCTGAAAGCTTTGCCACATACTTTACATTTACAGGGTTTCTCTCCGGTATGAATTCGCTCATGAATAATAAGTGTTGAGTGGGAACTTAAGGCTTTACCACATTCATTACAATTATAAAACTTCTCTCCAGTATGAATTATTCGGTGTCTATTAAGTCGCGAAATAGAAGTAAAGCCTTTCCCACATTCATTGCATCGATAGGGCTTTTCTCCAGTGTGAATTCTTTCATGTTGAATAAGAGATGCACTCTGGCTGAAGGCTCTCCCACATTCACTACATTTGAAAGGTTTCTCTCCCGTGTGAATTCTCTGATGATAACGAAGGGATGAGCTAGACTTAAAGGTGTTGCCACATTCATTACATAAGTAGGACTTCTTTCTAGAATGAATTCTTTGACATCCAGAAAGGGATGTGCTGCAACTAGATGCCTTCCTACCCGGATTATACTTACAAGGGTTTTCTTCAGCATGGATTTTTTGATGTATAAAAAGGCCTGACCTTCGGCTGAAGGATTTACCACATTCTTTACATCTATAGGATTTCTCCACAGTATGGGTTCTTAGATGTTTATAAAGGGACGTACTGAGAGTAAAGGCTTTCCCACATTCTTTACATATGTAGGGTTTCTCTCCAGTATGCGTTATTTGATGCTGAATAAGAGCTGAACTTTGGCTAAAGGCTTTTGAACATTCTTTACACTTAAATAATTTCTCTCCACTATGGTTTTTCTCATGTTTACGAAGGGATGAAGTGTTAATGAAGGTTTTTTCACACATACTACATTTATAGCGTTTATCTGCTGTAATTTTTGGTTGATTAAGTAAATGTGAATTCTGTTTGAAGCTGTTTCCTTGTATTTCACATTTTGGTGGTGTTTTGTCTCTGGGAAGTATCTGTTGCCTAATAAGCACTGACTTTGGGCTGAAGTTTTGGCTTAATTCAGTATTTTTATGGCTTCTTTCTATACTGGGGATTTTTTTGTGGGTGGCTGAAACTATCTGAAAACTTCCCTTTTTATCCTGCTTTTTCTCTAATCTGCCTTCATATATGTAAGGCTTTTCTAATTTCAAATCCCAAGGTACATTCCTGTTGGATCTTTTCAGTATCAGTCCCTGAAATGAAGAGTCTTGTGTTTGCGTTGACTTTGTGGTTTTATGACTGCTCTTCGATCCTGGAGGGAAAAAAAGAAATTGAAGATGTTTCATGAGATATCATAGCATTTGACTACTGAGACTAAATGTGTAGAAGGAATAAATATTGGTGATATTTAAATAAGGCCCCGATATCTGTATGAAAAAAATTGCAAGAAGAAAAAATAGGACAGTTAGACAGTATAATAAAATATAATTGACAGCAATTTAAGTACTAGGGTGAAGAAAAAAATAAAGCAAACCCACCATTTAAAGAGGGTGAGAGTGACCAGGAGAATTGGCTAATGAAGAACAGAGAGAAGTGGTGCATGAGTTGAAAAAGGAAGTCTGGGGTCAGGACCCAAAACCCATGATGGAATCCTACAATTTATTTTTTTGTGACATTTATCTTCTTTGTGTAATTTTTTTTTTCTTTTTGAGACAGTTTCACTCTGTTGCCCAGGCTAGATAGAGTGCATTGGTGCGATCTCGGCTCACTGCAACCTCTGTCTCCCAGCTTCAAGCGACTCTTGTGCCTCAGCCTCCTGAGTAGCTGGGATTACAGGCACCCACCATCATGCCTAGCTAATTTTTGTAATTTTAGTAGAGACAAGATTTCACCATGTTGGCCAGGCTGGTCTTGAACACCTGACCTCAAGTGATTCACCTACCTTGGCCTCCCAAAGTGTTTGGATTACAGACGTGAGCCACTGGGCCTGGCCTCTGTGTAATTATTCTTAATCTGGAAAGTCCCTCCACTCTATGTCAAATTCCCTCATATCCTTCAGATTCAGTTCAAAAATGGACTCTTTCAATCCTCTGACTCTGAGCAGCCACAGTCCATTCTCCTTACTATAGCACTTACCAGAGTATTAAACATATGTATTACTGACCTTTATAATATTTACACACATATACAGTATATTATAGTTATGTATCTATGTCTGTATATATCTCACTCTCCTTTTCTAACATAACCATTCTTCACAAGCAGATCAGCGTGCCCTATTTTCCTACAGATCCTCTGGATAGCACTCCAATTATACACAAAAGTTGTATGTTTTGTTAATCTGCCTTAATTACGTATACATTTCTAACTTGAACAATGTCAAATATTCTTATGTAGTTCACATATATACAAATATGCATATGTATTATACATACATACACATTTCAGACCCTTGTAGAAGTTGCCTCCTAGGCCAACACATGGGTGATTAGAGAGGTTTCAGGGCCAGTTCAAACAGGAGGGCCCTGTTATTGAATTAATCGACAAGAGGTGCCACAAGACAGGCCTAGAGCCAAGAGCTGCAAGAGAGGAAGTTAGCCTATTCATGCATCAAGCAAGAGACGCTACATGGGAGGGCTGAAAAGAGTCAAAGATCAACAGTAAGACAGGCATGGATATATAAGATAAAGCATGGTTAACATGGAAAAGTCAAGAACAGAATTGAAGAAATATTAAAATTGGATAAGAATACAATTCAATACTAAATTCTGTCGGGGATGGTTATACACATATCTTAGCATTTTCTCCTGGGGTAGAGGTAAGTGTTTAAAGGGATTATTTGTATCTCACTGTATTTGTGATTCCTATTTCACAGTTACTTTCACACATCTACACATTACTTCTGCTTAATAAACACAATACCTTTTTCTTTTCCCTTATTAGTGTTCACTCACTAGTTCCCTTCATGGATAACTCTTCTTCATTCCTTCTTTGACAATGGTATTGCCTAGGGTTTAGGGTTTTTTTCACTCCACACGCCCTCCCTGACTAACTTCACATGCCCTCTATCTTTACACTATTTACTGTAAGGGAAAGCAGAGTTTCTTAACTTTATGCTTAACACCTTCCTAGTTCCTTCTCCATTTCAGTCTTGCTAAATTAAGTGATCAAATTTTAATACATTATTTGGGCCAAATATATGGAAGGGGCAGTGGCAAAAATGAAGTGCTTTTCCTTGTGTTTATTGGTCATTGTTTCTAGGCTTAATATATGTGCTGGGAAGAAGGCAGCAAGATTCTGCAACTTGAATTCTAGCTTGTAAGGCAACGATACAGAACCTGCCTTAGGCCTAGTGTTAAGAAAGGCCCCTCACCTTTCCTAGAGCCCTGAGCAGTGGGATCAGGTACTTAAGTGGTATTTTGTTTGCCATGCATTACTATCTCTACCATAATCTCCTAACTAGTCTTGCCCTCTGTCAATTCAGCCTCCACAGTGCAGCCAGAATAATGGTTTTTTTTTTTTTTTTGGAAATGGAGTCTCCCGTCACCCAGGCTGGAATGCAATGGCGTGATCTCGGCTCACTGCAACCTCCCCCTTCCGGGTTCAAGTGATTCTCCTGCCTCAGCCTCCTGAGTAGCTGGGATTACAGGTGTGTGCCACCAGGCCTGGCTAATTTTTGTATTTTTAGTAGAGACGGGGTTTCACCATGTTGGTTAGGCTGGTCTCTAACTCCTGACCTCATGATCCGCCTGCCTTGGCGTCCCCAAAGTGCTGGGATTACAGGTGTGAGCCACCGCGCCCAGCCAATCTTTCTAAGATCATTATTTTACTATGTTGCAAACTTCCTTAAGGTCCTCCAACAGATTTTCAATGATTCACATCTGAAGTCTCTAAACGTGGTGAATACAGTACTATCTGATCTGACCTTTAGCCACCTGTCCTCACCCCTCTCCCCTGGCTTCTTGCCAGGTAGGCCGAACTACATGCAGCTTCAGGGACACTCCATGACTTTTCCTTGTTTATCTTTACATATGCTGGCAGCATCCTTTCCATTCACACATACTCATTAAGTGCCTACTATGGGCCAGGTAATGGTCTGGGGAATGCACATAATGTATCCAATAAGAAGGGATTCCAGCCTTCAAGGAGCTTATACTTTGGAGTGTGTGCATGCACGCCTGCTGGGGAAGGCGGGGGATGAAGGGACAGATAACAAGTACATAAATAAAAGTCATGTGGCTATCTGAGTAAAGTGCTCAAGAGCTCCCCGGGCAAACGAACCAGCAAACACAAAAGTGTGGCTGACTCAGAAACAGCAGAGAGACTGGCTGGAGTAAAGCAGGAAGAGGGAAAACGGTGAAATGATAAAATAAGAGTGGAACAGGCTGGGCACGGCAGCTCAGGGCTGGAATCCCCGCACTTTGGGAGGCCGAGGTGGGTGGATCACCTGAGGTCAGGAGTTCAAGGCCAGCCTGGCCAACATGGTGAAACCCATTCTCTACTAAAAATACAAAAATCAGCCAGGTGTGGTGGCACACGCCCATAATCCCAGCTACTCGGGAGGCTGAGGCAGGAGAATCACTTGAACCCGGGAGGCGGAGGCTGCAGTGAGCCGAGACTGCACCACTGCACTCCAGCCTGGGCGACAGAGTGAGACTCCGTCTCAAAAAGAAAACAAAAAACAAAAAACAAAACGAAAGAGTGGAGCAGGAGGCGGGGGACAAATCCTCTAAGGCCCAGGTCATGGTAAGGACTCTGGAATTTAAGCCTTATGGGAAGCTGGGGAATTATGTGTTCATCTGAGTTGGCTGCTGCGTGGACCGACAATGCCAGGGCACCAGTGGAAGCAGGGAGGGGAGAGACTACTGAAGAAGCTACTGCAGCTCTGCAGGTGAGAAAGGGCTGGAGGCACAGATGACTACACCAGGCTGTACTGAGAAGGAAGAGCTAGCGGGACCGAGAATAACAAGACTCAGGACTCCCAGGAAGCTGAGAGGGAAACAGGAAAGTTAGTGATCATGCCTAGGTTTCCAGCTAGAATTCTGAGTGCTGCCACCAATTACCAAGAAGGGGAAGACCAGGAAAGGGGCAGGTCTGGGGGGCATTCTGCTTCAGGTATGTTTGTGGTGGCTGAGATGCCTTAACAGAGTCGCAGGAAGACACCGAAATACTAGTTATATTTATGATTCTGGAGATCTGGGGAAGGTCAGAGCTACAGACAGGCATTTGGGGGTCAGCAGCATGTGGGTTTTATTTAAAGCTGAAGAACTGAAAGGAATCACTTGGACACTGAAATATCTGGAGATTAAGAAGAATAGTATCGGCCGGGCGCGGTGGCTCAAGCCTGTAATCCCAGCACTTTGGGAGGCCGAGACGGGCGGATCACGAGGTCAGGACATCGAGACCATCCTGGCGAACACGGTGAAACCCCGTCTCTACTAAAAAATACAAAAAACTAGCCGGGCGAGGCGGCGGGTGCCTGTAGTCCCAGCTACTCGGGAGGCTGAGGCAGGAGAATGGCGTAAACCCGGGGGGCGGAGCTTGCAGTGAGCTGAGATCCGGCCACTGCACTCCAGCCCGGGCGACAGAGACAGACTCCGTCTCAAAAAAAAAAAAGAAGAATAGTATCAGGAGAGTACAGTGTTCTAGAAGCCAAAGGAAGAAGTACTTCAGGGAGGAGTGAATGATAACTGTGGCAAATAATTTGAGGACCAAAAACTTAATCCTGATTGTGCCAAGACAGAGGTTGTTTGGGATTTAATAACAGAGCTATCAGTGGAATCATAGGGAAGAAAGCCTGACTGGAGTGCACGGAGGAAACAATGCGAGAGGAGAAAATAGAAACATCAAGAGCAGAAACCCTTTTCAACAGTTTCCAAAGGACAGTAAGAAAATGGGACATAGGGGAGCTTTTATTTTTTAATGGATGTGATTATGACTCAAAAGTCCATTATCAATTCTGGAAAACTCACCCCAACTCTAAAGTGCCAATATTTTAGTCCTGAAATCATGTTTTTCACGGAAGCAGACATGAGTTTTGGATTGTGGCTATCCTAACTCTTTCTTATGATCTGTTCAGAACTTTCCAGAGGCCTACAAATAGGTCTCCTGAGGTTCAGTTCAACCTTTGCTTCCTCCCAGAATCAAGCCCAGGCCTCAGCAACCTGAAGAACAAGGTGAAGGCCTAGGTTAGAAGCTGAGAAACAGAACGACCTTGCTGACGGCCACTGCCCTGACCAGTTCCTGTTACTAGGTCTAGACTCTTCTACCTGGACGCCTACTACACCCAGACAGTGTTTCTTCAACCTGCTCTCCCTGGATGACTTCATTCACTCCCACATCTCCTACGTGTATGACTATCCTGAAAAATACTTCACTGAGGTCTTTCCAACTGCCGGCTACAATTTCCACTTGAGGATCTTTCTTTTTAAATTCAGCCTGTCCAAATCTGAACCCAGAGCATTCCTTTTCAAACCTTTTTTATATGTTTTCCAGTTCAAAATGACATCAGGAGCTCTTCAATTACTTTACCATAAATTCTTAGCTTTATCTTAGAATTTTCTCTTCCCTAGGCACTCACCAAAATCTTTACTTTTTTGTTTTTTGAGAGACAGGGTCTTGCTCTGTTACCCAGGCCAAAGTACACTGGTGCCATCATAGCTCACTGCAGCCTCAAACTCCCGGGCTCAAGCGATTCTCCCACCTCAGCCTCCTGAGCAGCAGGAAGGACAGGTGTACACTGCCAAGCTTGGCTAATATTTTTATCTTTTGTAGAGACAGGGTTTCATTTTGTTGCCCAGGCTGCACATTCTCTTAAATCTCATCAGTAAAATGTCTCTAACAAGCCGTCGTGAATATGTCTAAGTTCAGGATCTCCTTACTGTAGAGTGACTTGCTCCTGATCCTTAAGTTACTCGCTTGACCTGTTTCTCCCCTTTCCAGTATTATTTCCCACTGGATTTACCCCTCTTAATACACAGAATTGCTCATGTTATTTCAAAAAGCAGTGGTCATTTCTCACTTTATTAATTTATCAAATATTTAAAAAGCACCTACTACGTATTAGGCTCTGTCCTAGGCATCGGTGATCCACAGTTCCCTACGGATCCAGTAATTACAAGGAACAGCTGATTTCTTCAAGGAGTTTATGGTTAGACATTAGAAATGAAGACATCAACAGGTAATCACAATACAATGTGACAATTTCTACAATAGAAACATAAGCTAGAAATGGACGTGACCATGTGCTTAGAATCATATCCAACTGTCCTTAGATAGTGAGGGTGCAGATAGAAAAGGGGTGCAGCAGGAGGTTGCTGGAGTGTTTTGTAAGAACTGACACATAAGATGGGATGTGAACGGTTACAGGCTAGATGAAGGGTAAGCACGAGGGCTGAAGGCAGCACCCAAGTCTTTGAATGCAAGTCAGTTTTACAGACTTATTTGCTGGAGTATTCATCCCCACCTTGTCCTACTGCTAGTCAGAGTAACAGCTCCACCTATGGAAATCACCTTGTCCTACAGCTAGTCAGAGTAACAGCTCCACCTACGGAAATCACCTTGTCCTACAGCTAGTCAGTAACAGCTCCACCTACGGAAATCACCTTGCCCTACAGCTAGTCAGAGTAACAGCTCCACCTACGGAAATCCCCTTGTCCTACAGCTAGTCAGAGTAACAGCTCCACCTACGGAAATCACCTCGTCCTACAGCTAGTCAGAGTAACAGCTCCACCTACGGAAATCACCTTGTCCTACAGCTAGTCAGAGTAACAGCTCCACCTACGGAAATCACCTTGTCCTACAGCTAGTCAGAGTAACAGCTCCACCTATGAAAATGTCACTTGCATTTGCAGTCACACAGGGTTTTCTGGAGTCAGAGAACTCAGGGAGCAATCTGCTGGGAACTATACATAAACTGTGATGGGTATAGTATTGCATATTTGTAAACATCCTCCATAATCTTTGTGCTGGTGGAAAATAGAAAAGCTGTTCTGGAAATTTTTTTGTGGTAACTCTTATTTTTAAAGCTTTTAACGTAGAAATTTTCAGCATATATAAAAGTAGTGTGAATTGTACAATGAATCTCCAAGCCAGCTTCAGTAACCACCAACACTGTTCTATCTATAACCTTGTTATGGGCTGAATTGTATCACTCAAAGAAGACATGTAGAAGTCCTAACTTCCAGGACCTCAGAAGGTGACCTTATTTTAAAATATGGTCTTTGCAGGTTCAATCAAATTAAGATGAAGTCATTGGGTGAGCCCTAGTCCAACGTGACTGCTGTCCCTGTAAACTGGGAAAATCTGGACACAGGCATCTAGAAGGAAAGATGGATGTGAAGACACAGGGTGAACACAGTGTGAAGACGGAGGCACAGATAGGACTGATGCAGCTGCAGGCCATGGAGATCTCCAAGTCGGCCATCACTACAAGCTAGCGAGAGGCCAGGAAGGATTCTACGCAGAGTCTCAGAGGGAGTGGGGCCCTGCGAATATCTGGATTTTGACCTTCAGAACTGTGTGACCGTAGGTCTCTGTTGTTTTAAGCCACGAAGTGTATGGTACTACCGTATGGAGCCCTAGCAAACTAATACAAACCCTTACATCTCTTCCACTAGATTATGCTAAAGCAAATCCCAGACAGCAATCATTTCATCTGCAAAAACATCGAAACTGCTCTTATCACATCCATCAAAATGGACACTATTGCTTGCAGTTACTTTTGCCCTTAGAATACATACCACTAATAAGTCAAACTGCTGCAATGTAAAGGCAATTCGAGTAATTCCTTCTGTGGCTAAGCCACCAATCTGGAACACAATTAGGGTTGTTTCATTCTGCTCTCAATATGGAGGGCGTACTTGCTCATTTTTGTTTAATTTTCTTTTATAATTTTATAAACCTTTTTCATAGTTCTGAAGTCAAAATTATGAGACCTCAAAGAGTTCTAGATTCTACCCCGTTCCATCCTTTGTATTCCTTCACCTCATAGATAGCCATCTTTATTGATCTCTTTTTATTCTTTTTCTTTTGCTTTTATCTTCCTAAAAAAAAATAATTGCACTGCTTAATGACTGGGATACGTTCTGAGATATGCGTTGTTAGCAATGTTGTCATTGTGCAGTCATCACAGAGTGTACTTACACAAATCCGGATGGTACAGGCTACTGCACACCTAGGCTATACGGTATAGCCTGTTGCTCCTGGGCTACACCCCTATACAGCATGTTACTTAACTGAACACTGTAGGCTACTATAACACAATTATAAGTATTTGCGCATCTAAACATATTTAAACATACAAAAGGGACAGGAAAAATGCAGTATTATCATGTAAGGGACCATCACCACATATGTAGGCCATCACTGACTGAAACATTATGTGGTCCATGACGGTACAGACAAATACACTGTTCTTGGCACCCCCACCCACCTTTCTTAGATAACAATACTAACTGCTCTGTTCTGTACTTATTCTCACATTCTGGAGATCACCCCATAGCGGAATTTACAGAGGTCTTCCTCATTCCACTTTACAGCTGTGTGGATGTACCACAATTTATCATCCTCGGAGTGCCTTAGCTTTAGTTCTATGCCCCCAATTCTTCTCACTCTGCATCTTTCCACAGGCAACTTCAATTGTAGACTCATCCTCTAAGCAAGATAGTAGCTTAGATGCCTCAAAGTCAACACACCTAAAACCAAACCCACGATTGTTCCCTTCAACCCAACCCCGTGTCTCTGTAAATGGCGCCAGTTCTGAATCAAAACCTTAAGAGTTATCCTTAATACTTCTCCCTTCCTCAGCCCCCTCATCTAATCAATTACCAAGACCTGTTTATTCTGCCATCCAAACCTGCCTCACATTCGTCTACCTTTCCCCATCTACTGCCACCGTCCCATCACGAGCCTCGCCTCCAATGTCACGTGCCTCTCCTGATTTTCCTTAGAGTACGCTTTCACCTGTCTTCCCTACGGGTTCATTTCTCTCTGCCTGGCTTCCTGAAATGCTGGAGTTCCTCAAGATTCAGTCCTAGGCTCTTTCTAACTTACTGTAATATGAACGCTATCCCTAGGCCAACTCACCCTCCCCCATTATTTCAATTACCCTATATTGATGAGGTTCTTCCAAATTTACATTTCATGCTCAGTCTGTATTTTGAGGTACTGTACTCCAAAATCAACACTACTTGGCATCGCCATTGGGATAACTAGGTCAACCAAAAACAACTCAATTTGATTAATCTAAAACCGAATTTATATCACCTCCAAATCTGATCTCCTTCTAGTGTTCCTATGTCACTGAATGATATCACCGACCATCACAGAACAAACCAGAAACCAAGCAAGCATCCCTGACAACCCCATCTCCCTTTTGTTTGTTTTTATTTTCTTTGTTACCCCATCTCCTCTATCTTCCGTGTCTAACAGTCCTGCTAGGTGTATCTCCTGGACATCTCTGGGACTGGTTCACTTCTTTCTGTTTCCAACACCACTAACCTAGTCCAAGTCACTCGTGCATTCATTATGTAACTGGACGCCTACCCTTGCCAGGGGCTGTTTTAGGTTCTTGGAAAACAGGAGTGAATGAAACAGGCAGCCCCTGCTACAGCAGCTTACAATGCAGAGGCAGAGACAGATCGCGAAGAAACAGGTACTATTACACAGTGCTAAGCACAGGGAGGGAAAATAAATAGCAGGCTGAGGAGATAATGTGGGGGCTGGAGGGCCATGTGTCAGATGAGCTATGCCTGTGTGAACCGAAGCCTGTGCAGCACAAGGAAGTGAGTGAGCCACACGGGCCCATGACCACCACAAAGAACAGTTCCCGACAGAAAAAAGCAAGGGAGAGGCCCTGAGTGGGGCCTGCTTGGCCCCCTGACAAACTGCAGGGTGGCCGAGGGTGATCAGAGGCCTTGAATGAAGGGCAGAGTAGAAGAAGTTGAGGGTGAAGAGGTAGCCAGGGCCAGACCATGTAGTGTATTTCTCCCAAAGGAGAGTTAAAAAGATAGACAAGTGTGGTTCCCATATAAAAAAAATCTCAACTTTCTTCAGGGAGGAGAAAGCTCTCCCCAGCACAGGGGCTGTGGGGACCGAGGATGCCTGCCCTGCAGCTCCTTGCTGGACCCATGGCACAAGAGGCCGTCACTGAGCCCTCTGGACCTGACAAGCCCTGCACTCTGACCGTCAGGTTCTCCACATGGGCTGGCGGCTGCAGAATGCAGCCTGGGCCTGCCCTGTGCTACTTATGGTTCCTCAGAGCCTGTGCTTGGCTCTCAAGCACCAACCAAACCCTGTGACAGGGCCCACAGCTCTCTCAGGCACCTGTTCCGCCTTCTCCTCGCTGACTTTGCTTCTCCGGATCTTCAAGAACACCATTTCTTTTGTTTTTGAGATGGAGTCTCGCTCTGTCGCTCAGGCTGAAGTGCAGTGGTGCGATCTCGGCTCACTGCAAGCTCCGCCTCCCGGGTTCATGCCATTCTCCTGCCTCAGCCTCCTGAGTAGCTAGGACCACAGGCGCCCGCCACCACGCCTGGCTAATTTTTTGTATTTTTAGTAGAGGTGGGGTTTCACTGTGGTCTCGATCTCCTGACCTCGTGATCCGCCTACCTCGGTCTCCCAACGTGCTGGGATTACAGGTGTGAGCCACCGCGCCCGGCCTACAAACACCATTTCTTAGGCCTGATGCAATTCTCCACATTCTTGGATCCTGAGCCCTTCCTCAGGGAAGCCTTTGCTGACGCCACCTGCCTGCTCTGCACTCTCAAAGCACCAAGTGTCTTTCCCACGTGGTCCTCACTGGAACGTGTCCTTCTGTGCCTTGTGTGCAATGTGTGTTCACCTTGTCCCCCCGCTAGATCGTGCACTCCAGAAGCATGAGACCTACATCCCTTTCTGCCCAGTGCTATACAAGGGACAACAAAGCTGTGGGCGAGGGTTCAAGCTCAATCCCCCAGAGCCAGAGTCCCCCCAGCTCAACCGCTCTCAGGCCCCCAACCACTCTCAGTCCCCCACTGCCACGATGGCCACTCCCCGTTTCCTCTGATTACTTCTCAGGCTCTGTCACAGATTCCTCCTGCTTAAGCACCTCACAAATGCTGGTTTCTTGGGATTCGGGCCTCCACCCGGCCCCCTCACCCGGCCAGCTCCAGGTTTCCAATGCCCCTGTCACGCTGATGGCTCCCTGACCTCCCTTGAGTCTCAGCCCTGTCACTTACACACCTGCCCACCAGCGATCTCCACCCGACTACTTCACTCACATCTCACGTGAGATCCACCACACACACACCTGCTCCTGTGCCCTGATCACGCGGGCACCTCCTCCTCCCCCCTCACAAACTCACCGCAAGTGCCTTCATCCAGGCCCTCCCACCTCCTGCCTCCCTCCATGACTGCAATCGCTCTGCAAGGCTTCCTGCATTTTTTTCTTTTGAGACAGAGTCTCGCTCTGTCGCCCAGGCTGGAGTGAAGTGGCACAATCTCGGCTCACTGTAACCTCTGCCTCGAAGGTTCAAGCAATTCTCCTGCCTCAGCCTCCTGAGTAGCCGGGATTACAGGCATGTGCCACCACGCCTGGCTAATTTTTGTATTTTTAGTAGAGACGGGGTTTTGCCATGTTGGCCAGGCTGGTCTCAAACTCCTGACCTCAGGTGATCTGCTTGCCTCGGCCTCCCAAAGTGCTGGGATTACAGGCGTGAGTCACCATGCCCAGCGTTTTGCCTCACTTTCAATCACAATACTTCTAACATGACCATTCTCGTAAATTCAAATCACGTAAGAACGTCACGAATGTATTCTCTTTGTGAAAAATTAAAACTACGTGTAAATAACGTCCCCCTCCACAGGACCCATTCTCAATCCTATTCCAAGTGTCACTAATGTCACCAGTTAATTAAGGTGTGTCCTCCTAACCTTTCTCTCTGGGCTTCCGTGCACACGACACACACACATCATTTTCACTGAACACAGATGGCGGCGTCCTAACAATGCTCTGTAACTTGCTGGGAGCTCTGTCCACGTCCCTGGACTCTTGTTTTCAGGGTCGGTGATGCTCGCCAGGAGCTGGAAGGACACGCGAGGGTCCCTTGCTGTTCTTACACTGATGGAGGACTCAACTGTGTCTGGATTCAGATCCCAACTTTCTCTAGATACAATGGACCATACGATTCCCTTGGCCCAAATCCTTCCTTATTTCCCATGCTCATGGGGACAGTTTCCACCCTCTTAGAACTGGCAAAGCTCTTACCCACGCGGCCACTTCCCCGCTTTCTATTTCTTCCATCACCTCCTCCTTTTCCAAATCACACTGGCTTCAGCCAGAGTGATTATTTTTTGAATTTCCTGAAACATTCACTATGTTTGCCTGACTGATACATGAAAATACAGGGCCCCATTCTAAAAACAGGAACGAGAAGAAAGGAGTTCGGAGAGGTCCATGGGCGACAGTGTTCAGGGAGTATCGTAGTGGCTTCCCTTTCCCCCCCTTCTTTGAGGTCTGATGAATCCTCAAAGGAGTTTCCGACCCAACACTCTTCCCCTCTCATGTCACCAGCCCGCTGTCTGCCGGCGATTCCCGAGCACTTGCGGGCCTGCCCCGTTACCCAAGAGAGGGTCCGCAGAACTGTCTTTCCTCCTTCTCAGGGATCTTCTCCTTGCTGCAACAGGGAGATCACTTTCGGTTTGGTAAATGGGAGCCCTGCACGTAGACAAAAAACCAAAACAAAACAAACCTGACTTGGTTTTGCTTTGATGCAGTTATCCCAAATTTAAACACAGAACGCATAGGATGGCACAAAGAGCTTCTGTGTAGTGCTTCAGTTGTGCCCCAAGAGGTAAGTGGGTAGTGTAAGGAAAAGACAAGTGACTTGTAGGACACGACTTTGGTATAATTAATTCTATGTTAGGAAAATATGATCGACATGCAATATTGGTAATAGAATGCCATAAGCTTTCTATAAAAGAGGAAATGTTAAGATAGAGAGACTGGTTAAAATTTATAAGTAGGTTATCTGTGAAAAGGATGATGTACCAGGTAGCTTGTCTAAAATGAGAAAACACTATCTGACTCCCCCCTTTTTTTTTTTTGAGGAGGAGTCTCGCTCTATTGCCAGGCTGGAGTGCAGTGATACAATCTTGGCTCACTGCAACCTCTGCCTCCCGGGTTCAAGTGATTCTCCTGCCTCAGTCTCCCAAGTAGCTGGGACGGCAGGAGCATGCCACCACGCCTAAGTTTTTTGTATTTTCAGTAGAGATGGGGTTTCACCATGTTGGCCAGGATGGTCTTGATCTCCTGACCTTGTGATCCACGTGCCTCGGTCTCCCAAAGTGCTGGGATTGTGGGTGTGAGCCACCGCACCCGGCCTATCTGACTGCCTTTGAAGAATGGCAGTGATCAGCAAACTATGGGTCGTGGGCCAAATCCAGACCACTGCCTGTTTATGTATGGCCCTGTGCCAAGAATGGTGGAAAAAAAAGAGAAATATGTTACAGAGACCATCATGCAACCTACAAAGCCTAAAATCTTTACTATGTGCCTTTATTTATTTATTTATTTATTTTTGAGACGGAGTCTCGCTGTTGCCCAGGCTGGAGTGCAGTGGCGGGAACTCAGTTCACTGCAAGCTCCGCCTCCCAGGTTCACACCATTCTCCTGCCTCAGCCTCCAGTGCAGCTGGGACTACAGGTGCCCCGCATCACACCAGCTAATTTTTTTGTATTTTTTAGTAGAGACTGAGTTTCACCGTGTTAGCCAGGATGGTCTCTATCTCCTGACCTCATGATCCGTCCGCCTCGGCCTCCCAAAGTGCTGTGATTACAGGCGTGAGCCACCGCGCCCGGCCTACGTGGCTTTTTATGGTAAAAGTTTGCTGATCCCCGGAAAAGACAAGTGGGAAAGGCAAGTGGCAGGCCTAGAGGCTGAATGAAGCCCCCTGTTGGGAGATGAGCAAACTACAGAATTGTTGGGAAATGATGCCTGAATCACGGACAAGCTTCGAATGTGCAATTACATGGAGGGAGAAGAACGATTATCAATACCACCTTTTCCATTCCCAGACGCAGGGCAATTCCACGCCGATAAGGGGAATATGTTTTTAATGTTTATTTATAGAGATTTGATTTGTATAATCCTCAAACTCAGCTCAAGTTTTTCAGTGACCAACCGCTTTTATTCAGGGAAGGAGGTGCTGAGCTATCCCAATTTTTGAATTCTGTTTCTACAGGGGAAACTTCCTTACCCAGTGCGACCAGGTTCCTGTAGTTCTCCAGCATCACATCCCGGTACAAGTTTCTCTGAGAAGGAGCCAGCTTTCTCCACTCATCCCGGGTAAAGAGCACGGCCACGTCCTCGAAAGTCAGTGACACCTGTAAGGACAGATCGTTCCAGCTCACCCAGGACCCCCCTCACAGAGTGGACGGGATGGCAGTGGGGAAGACAGGCTACCCGTGAGAACACTTCTGATACTATTCAAGCTTCTGAAGGTTCCAGGTCATTCCTTTAATGAACAATTTGCCAGTAACAAATATATACTGAGCGGCACACAGCGAGATTCAGGCCTTGTGCAGCCACCGTAAGAGATGGGTAGAGGGATTACGGCCATTAGTGGGAGTGTTCATTAGAAAACTCTTTCTGATGGCGATTTGATAATACATATTAGAGCCGTTAAAGTATACTCTTTAAAGTACCAATTACTCTATTTGTACTGTAATGAACAGTGCACAAAAGTACACACATGAACATATTCATGGTGTTTGTAAGAGCAAAAAACCAGGAACAATCTACATACTTAATGATGGAGGTTAGGTTAAATAACTGAAGGTACTCGCTGTGTATTTACTCAAGCTTAAGGATAGTAATGATGAAAAGTAAAATAGCTATAATTTATTGAAGGCTTTCTATGGTATTGCTCTCAGAGCTTTGTCAATTTGCAGCGTATAACCTTTATTTAACATTCACAACAATCCTACGAAGACGATACTATTTTTGTTACCACTTTACACAAGAGAAAACTAAGTCACAGACAAGATACTTGTCCAGGTCACACAGTCACTGACAAGCTGTGTAACTTGTACACATTTTTTCTTTTTCCTAGAGATGGAGTTTGGCTCTTGCTGCCTAGGTTGGAGTGCAATGGCATGATCTTGGCTCACCGTAACCTCCACCTCCCAGCTTCAAAAAATTCTCTTGCCTCAGCCTCCTGAGTAGCTGGGATTACAGGCGTTGGACACCATGCCCAGCTAAATTTTGTATTTTCAGCCTGGCCACCATGTTAGCCAGGCTGGTCTCGAACTCCTGACCTCAGGTGATCTGCCTGCCTCGGCCTCCCAAAGTGCTGGGATTACAGGTGTTAGCCACTGTGGCCAGCTGACTTGTATACATTTCTTATCCTGTGACTTTGTTTTTTCTGGTGTAATTCAAATCCAGGCAGATGCTTGACTGAGCCTCCATTCTTAAACTACTCTGTAAAACTGCCTTTTAATGCCTGCCCCTTAGGGTTAAGAAATAAATGTGGTAATCCACACAATGAAGACGGATAGTGACGATGGTTGCACAACAATGTGAAAGTACTTAAAATGCCACTGAATTACACACTTAAGTTAAAACGGTAAATTTTGTTATATATATTTTGCCATAATAAAAAAAAGGTTAAAATGGTAACATACATGGTAGCATACATACATAGACACACACACACACAAATGTGTATAGAAAATGATTTATTCGGGCTGGGTGCAGTGGTGCACGTCTGTAATCCCAGCACTCTGGGAGGCTGAGGCGGGTGGATCACCTGAGGTCAGGAGTTTGAGACCAGCCTGGCCAACGTGGTGAAACCCCCTCTCTAATAAAAACACACACAAAAAAAACTTAGCTGGGCGTGATGGCGGGCGCCTGTAATCCCAGCTACTCGAGAGGCTGAGGCAGGAAAATTGCTTGAACCCAGGAGGCAGAGGTTGCAGTGAGCCAAGATCCCGCCACTGCCTGGGCGAAATCCTACGAAGACGATACTATTTTTGTTACCACTTTACACAAGAGAAAACTAAGCTTGTGATCCGCCCGCCTTGGCCTCCCAAAGTGCTGGGATTACAGGCGTGAGCCACCGAGCCCGGCCAGAAAACGGCTTTGAAGAGGAAAGCACTGGGTGTCCCGAGGCGGGAGGGAAGGGGTGGCCGTCCTGGGGACGGGCTCGGAAACCGGGGCCCGGCTGCGTCCGCCCTGCCCTCGGGGTCCCGGTGCCCCGACTCCACGAGGCCCACACGGAGTGGACAGGGCGGGCCCGGGAGGAAACGCCAGGCCCCGCGTCCACGGCGGGCTGCGGCGAGTCGGACGCGGGTGCACCGGCAGCGCCGAGGGAGCGCCCCGCGGGGGTGCGAGAGTCCAGGTCCCGGCGCGGAGGCCGGTGACAGACGCGGGGGTGCCCGCCAGCGCCTACAAAGGCTTTCCGAGCCCCGGCGGCTGCAGGCCGTCCCCGCGCCGGGCGCCGCCTCCTCCCGGCCTGGCCCGCCTCCGCCGCTCACCTCCCTAAGCTCGGGCGTTCCCGGGCCGCGCCTCCCCGGCCGCACTCCGCAGGCGGGAGGCTCCGGAACCGCCGGGCCGGACTGCAGCCTCGGGACCAGGCTCCGCCCCGGCGGCGTCTGGGCGACCTCAGGCCCCGCGCCGCTCACCCCGCGGCGCGCCGGGGACCAGGAGGGGCGGGGCAGCCGCGGAGGCCGCTGGGAAATGGAGTCCACGGGAGGACGCCAGCTTTCGGGGAAGTGTAGTTCCATGCGTTTGCGGCGGCGTCCAGGCTGAGCGGTTAGGCGCCCACACGCCACAAGAGGGCCCCTGTGAGCTGGCCCCAGGTTCCTGGTTATAGGGAAGAGAAGAGGAGGGAGGTTCGCGGACCGCGGTAACTTGCAACTCTGGGTCGGTGTGAATTTCGGGAGGGCGGGCGTGGGCGGCAGCAAAACAACGGCCCGGAACAGACCTATTTCCCCTCAGTTATTCACCAGAGGGGCACTGAGCACCTGGTGTGTGCCAAGCACGGTTGCAAGTGGTTTCAAATGCATGAATGAATGAAACAAACGTCATTGCCGCGGAGAACATTTTTTGGGGGGGGGTAGGGAGCAGACAATAAGCCATACACGTAATTATGTAACATCTTGGGGGATAAATGTGGGGAGAAAAAGGGTATGTGGAGGGTTTCGTCGCTGAGGTGAGAATCGACGAGGTCTCCCAGGACGTGCCTGAAGCACAGGGGACGGAGATTCCAGCTACTCTGAAGCCAACGGATGTATATATATATATTCAACTAAATCTTCTCCGTTACAAAAAGAACACCGGCTCTATTTAGAAAGTTTGGCGCTTCCCTACTGAAGAACATGCCCTGAACATTTGAATTTGTCAATATTCTCCCTCAGTGGCACTTTTGATAGCTTCATTGCATTCCATTGCATTTAATTATTATTTTTTAAAAAATGTTTAATTGTCTGGGGGCGGTGGCTCATGTCTGTAATCCCAGCACTTTGGGAGGCAGAGGCGGGTTGATCACGAGGTCAATCCAAGACCAGCCTGGCCAAGATGGTGAAACCCCCGTGTCTACTAAAAATACAAAAATTAGCCGGGCGTGGTAGGGGCGCCTGTAGTCCCAGCTACTCGGGAGACTGAGGCAGAGAATTGCTTGAACCGGGAGGTGGAGCTTGCAGTGAGCCGAGATTGCGCCACTGCACTCCAGCCTGGGCGACAGAGCAAGACTCCATCTCAAAAAAACAAAACAAAGTTTCATTAAATTAAGCTTATTTCAATATATTTAAACTCCTAGTTATTTATATAATTTATATTTTAGTTATACAGTTGTTTATACTTCAAATTTTTTAACACCTTTAATATCCTTGCAGCTATATCTTTGAAGATTATTTTCTTAAACCGCTTTAAATTGACCAGAGAGAGCAAAGTGGGAGGGGCCATACACATTCCAAACAACCACATCTCAGGAGAACTCACTCACTATGATGAAAACAGCATGGGGGTGGCCGTCCCCAGACCCCTCCCTCAACCTGTGGGGATTACCGTTCAAGATGAAGATTTGGGTGAGGACACAGAGTCAAACCATATCACAAGTAGACCTTAATAGCCAGCTGGAAATCAGCTTAGGAAGTAATGAGAAAGGAACAGAATCAATGAACTTCTGATTTAACCACTCCAGCACTTACGCTATTTAAAATGTGAAATATACATACAAAAGCCCAATTAGAACATATAGGTTATAAGCATAGAACACATGATTACAAAGATAATACCCCTGCAACCATCCACCCAAGTTGAGAAGTAGGCCCTTACTAACGGCCAGTACAGTTGTCCCTAGGTATCCACAGGGGGTTGGTTCCAGGATACCCGTGGATACCAAAACCTGATGACGCTCAAGTCCTTATTAAAAAAAGGCATGCTATTTGCATATAACCTATAGGTATCCTCCTACATACTTCAAATCATCTTTAGATTAAATAAGCCATACACGTAATTATGTAACATCTTGGGGGATAAATGTGGGGAGAAAAAGGGTATGTGGAGGGTTTCGTCGCTGAGGTGAGAATCGAC